TGAATCAAAAACACAAGTCACAAGGAAAGGTTTTTCTTTTCGCTAGTTGTGACTGATTAAGAAGAGATTTCATTGTTATTCCATTAGGTTAGTAGCCAAATATAGATAAGTAGAACAGTTTAATGCTGTTAAATACATAATCAGTCTAGAATGCTTAAAATTAAGTTCAATAGCTCTGATACTCGGGAAGAAAAAAGAGGACCAAATACCCTAGGTGCCAATGAAACACTGAAACCAGATGCAATACAGATATAGTATGTTTTGCATAACACCATTTGTCTTCAGACAAACCCTTTCTGTCTGCTTCACAATACAAAAATTCAAACAGAACAGAGTGGTTTTTACTTATATTCCTCAGCCATAGCTTAATATTTTCTCTTTCTAACCATAATGGGCAATCATTTCCAATTGGCTTTGTAAACACAGTAAGACAACTACTACAGATATTTATGAGCTAACCTCATCCTTTAATTTCAGCTGACTCACAAAACAGGCCTTACAAAAGGGGTATTTCACAATTATCTGTTCTTCAGGAGCAGCCAAATGGTTCTCCCTTTATTTCCCCAACTTTAATTAGAATGTTCTTGCTCAGAAAGAAAGGAATACCCAGAATGCCACAAAACACCTGAGTAGTCCAGTAAGCAGAAGCAAAAAGCCAACAGAGACGCAACAAAGTGCTTACACTAAAGCTTAGCTAGTTTTCCATTTGAGCTCTTACTCTTAGCCAAGTCACTCTCACTTCATATTTCACTCAAGTAAACTTGGTTACCTGGCTTCCACCAACACTGGAGCATGCAAATTAGACATCAGGACAAAAGCTAGTAAGAGTGAGACAAAATAGTCCAATAGCAACAAAAACTGGTCCTGATTAATAGACAGTAAAAAAGGAAGTGAAATTATAAAAAGTATAATATGAAATGCAAGAAGCATGGCAATCTGGGGTTTGTACATTCAGATGAAGAGAAACACTCTCTCCCACAAGCAGGTGGTGGTAATTTTACATCATGGGCCAAAACAACTTGGGCTACTGACAGATGTTCTAAACAAGCATAATAAGATTTTTAAAAAATAATCTGAGCATCTAGTGATTTTTGAATCTTTGGTTATCCAGAAAATCAGTCCCCAAAATGATGGGCTCTGGGAATTCTGGATAACTGAAGCATATATCTTTAAAAAGAGAAAGGATGCTCTGTGGTTAAGATCTTTGAAAGGTGGGGATAAATCACATTTATCAAACCCATTCTTTAGCTTTTCTACCACCCTCTTCCCACCACAAACCCTGATAGTATCTGCCTACTAGATAATACACTAATATTTAAATCATTTTTACCAGCTACAATATACTTTTCCTATAATATCCAGATCCGTCTTACCTTCTTGAATATTGTTGGTCCATCCACATTTGTGCTCAGAATGACCACTACTTTACAATCATCAGAAAAGTGGCTTCAATTCCAGGTTAAAATAGGTAACACAGTGTGGCTTGTTGAAAATCAAACCAAAAACATCACTAGGAGTGTCTTTCATTGAACAAAGAAATCCTATTCTGTTTCCGAAGGGGATAAAAAGACGAGCCTAACCCTGGTAACCTTAACACAAAAGGAAGCTAAAAAGGCAGGGACTCGAAAAGAACAAAGGATTGTGCTTTCTGATGACATCAATACATATTAAACACGATGTGTTACACATCCTTCTATCAATATTTGTGATGATAAATTTGCAAATTAATACCACACTGGCCATAACTGCATAAAATTACAATGGCACTCTTTAGAAGAGATTTTGATTTATATAATGGTAGTGACTTTTATGTATCTAATGGTTCTGAAACTAAAAGAGGAGATGAGCCACTGTGAGCAAGCAGAATACAATGTACAAGAAATAATTACACTTGTGACCTCGTGCCCTAGAAGGTCACTCTTCTTCACAAGCCAAAGGAAATCAGGAACCATCAGCATTTACCTCAGAGATGTCACTGACTGGAATGAAGGGCAAGTGTGGACATATTTCATAAACAAGCAGGTGCTTGACCTCATAAAAAAGTCAATTATCAACACGCTACATGTAGAATGTCACTCATGAGTAAGTGCATTCCGCAACACATCTTCACTTCAAAATAAATCTGATCTGAGGTGATACATAATACTGTACTATATCCAAATTGCACTACAATAGTTTCACAAAATAACATTAATCCCTATTTAGCCCTATTTAGTAAAAAATAATCAGATGTCTTTAAAGGTGAGTTGGAACATAAAAGTCACTGTATGTGCATGCTAGAGTGGATGACTCAGAAAAGATGTATAATTCTTCCATAAGTCAGTATTAAAGAATGGTGCAGTATTTTCATTCAAGTCTTACCACCATAAAATCGGAATGACAACGTACTTATCCTCAAGTTTCCAATAAAAAATTAGCATCAAAAGTTTACATATTGATGACGTTTTTTAAAGGAAAAAATGATGGTTCTTGACTGGCTCAGGGACAGAACTTCTATTTCTTGAAGAAAAATTCTCACATCACTCAACAACTGAGGACTTGGCTCTTATGAAAATCTGGGCTTTCACTTAAGGCAGACTATTGCTCTTTTTTCTTCCCCAGTCATTTCTAGTCTTTAGTCAGAATTCCTGGGCAATATAAATTAAAGTGAATTCTGAGGCAGCAGTAATATGGAAAACAAAGCTACAGAAGCCAATTCAGGGAAAGAAAGTGACCAACACTCACTATTTGTATTATGCACTATGCTGGATGCTTTGCAAAAAGTTTCTATTCAAGACTCTCAGGACTCTTGAAAAAGCAGCTGGCTCTGGCCCATTACTTTCCTCAGTTCTCAGACAAACCTACAAAAGGTTTTTCTTTCCTTCCTCCCTACCTCCTTCCTTCCTTCCTTCCTTCCTTCCTTCCTTCCTTTCTTTCTTTCTGGCAGTACTGGGCAGGCGGCTTTTTATTAAAATAATGTACCTAAACAAAATACCAAGGATCCCATCAACATGGCCAGTTGACTTAGCTATCCTTTTAGTCCTAGCTAAATCAGTTACTGTGAACTCAGAGAAAATTATACCACCACTTTAAACCTCTGACTCCAGATCTCAGAGATGAAGGGCTATCACAATCCAATAGCTAGGTACAACATTCTGCTCTTCAGGTAAGAGAATTTTCTGAGTTTCAGACAAGTAATAAAAGGAATCTTAGACCAAGTTCAGTCATAAGTCAGGTGCTGATAATACTGCTTAAATAATTACTATACATTTTTAAATGTTTAGAATAGTTAAATTACAAGAAAATTTATGAGGAGTGGTGTGTTCACCAGATACTTCAATATCTTGCCTGCTTTAGTGATTAGGATGCCTATGTCAGAACTGGGCGTTAATTTTATAAAACAATGCTTTATGATATAACTTGCTATAGTGATCATTTCTTCAAACATTAATGACAATGGTTGAGGCAATTTCACTACAAGCACAAAGATGGCAGGTGTGGACTGTCCACCAGCTGGCTCCATAACCTTTTGATCCCTTCGGACAGCAAATCTGTTCAACAGCCCTATGTGGTCATTCCTCATTTGTTGTATGCTTTCTTTTCTTTAATACATTCAAAATCCCTATTTCTTTAGCTTGACATCCTTTTAGTAAAATAGAAAACTCCAGTAAAGGAAACTAAAACTAATTTTACGCTCAGTCAGTGGAAAAGTTCCAGAATCAATTAACATATTACAGCAAAAGTTGTTAATGTATGATGTTTTAGTTATATATAGAATTTGTTTACTCCTTCACTGAAAAAACAATTAAACTAAATGAGAAGATTAAAATTTTAAGTAAGCCAGCATTCAATTAATTTATGAAGTACTCAGAGATTCTATTGATATTGATTACACAAATGGAAAGGTTTACATTTTACCTAAGAACAAAGTAGTTTATGCTTATTTAAGTAATGAGGAGAATAATCAAGAATAATTTTGCAATAGTTTTTTTTTTTTGCTGTTTTATACTGTTGTTGAACATACTATCTAGAAGGAACACTCTCTGAAAGCAGTATTAGTTAAGTCAAGCATCTATTCTTCTGTGCCCGCCCTCAGCTAAAATCTAAGGATGTTGGAGCAAACTGGGTGGAGTAAGCAGTAGTTAAGAGAATGAGGTTTAGACTCTGGCAGTCACCTAAGCATCTGAAGGACCATAAGAAGATTTTTGAATCCCTCTCAGCCTGTTAATTCATGTGACAGAACACAAAGTGGGGGTGAGATGGGGGTGATGACAACAGCACCTACTTTTCAGGATTACTGCAATGGTTAAATGAAATAACACTAACCAAATACTTAGCAAAAGCCTGACATAGAGAACACATCCAATTAATTTATTATTTTGTGTATACTTTATCCTCTTTGGAGTCACCTAGCAACATTCACACATCTATCATTGCTTCATGGAATAATTTGTGGCTATACTGTGCCTCTACCTTGTAGCTGAGCCATAACTTCTTTCCAGGAACAACATAAATGGTATCCATAATGATATTTCTCTTTCCAAACTGTCAAGAATACAACCCTATAATGATGGTTGCTGTTTTCCTTAGACCTTTATATGCAATCAGTAATCAAGGCTTAGAAACTGTCTTTTGCTGGGTGCCAATGGCTCATGCCTATAAGTCTAGCTTCTTATGAGGCAGAGATCAGGAAGATCACAGTTTAAAGTCAGCCAGGGGAAATAGTTCACAAGACCCTATCTTGAAAAGGACCCATCACAAAAGAGGGCTGGTGGGGTTGCTCATAAGGTAGAGTGTCTGTTAGCAAGCATGAGGCCCTGAGTTCAAACTCTAGCACTGCTAAAAATTGAAATCGCCTTTTATTCTACTCTGTCTACTTTTAGTCTGGGTTCTGTGTCCCCTCCCAGATATTTATTCCCCTTTAAAGTCAGTGACTCCCTTTTGGTGCTATTAGAAGCTGAACATTTGTGAGTGTGATACTCTTTCTGCGCAGCTTTGTATAAGAGCAAGAGAACTCTTACGTGAGATGACGTGGTCCATATACTGAGGCAAGTAAGGAGCCCAGGCATCAATGGCTTCCTTCCGTCCTGCCTGCTCAATTCTTCTCAGCTCGGCTAGAAGCAGGGCCTGTGCAGCTTCTCTTACCTGAGAAGATAACAGAACCAAAGAAGGAAAAAGAAAACAGATCAGATAGTGAGGTAAGTACCAACAGAGAATGTTCATAATGGAATACTGTGAGAAAGCACACTGATCTGCTGCAGAAACCAACCAAAGCATAGATTTTGTCCTGAAAGTGGATCTCACACCTAATCAAAGATGATTTCACTAAAAAATATTTTAACACAAATGGGCAGAATTATGTCTTTAATAAGATTTGGGTTTAAACTTCATTTCCCAAAGCATTCTTTAATATAGCATTTTTATTTTTAAAATTTCCATTTAAATACTAGTCATTAGTTAAAAGTCACAATTAGAGCTAATAAATTTGTTTTTTCTCTTACTCAAGAAATCTAAACTTATTTGGTAAAAGTCTTTACACTGTATGTGTTAAAAGAGTACTTTCATACAATCAAATAGGTACAAGCCCATGATTCATGTATATTAAGACATGAACAAAGTAGACAAATATATTCATGTATAACAGCATAACTTCTTTCAGGTTTACAGAGGGAATTATTTTTACAAATTAATCAGTTTTTCTTTCAGCGGGACATATAAGTGTTATTTTGCTGTTTAAGTTTAGTTTTGTTTTATTTTGGCAGAAGTGACAGACAGGAAGTCGAAGGAACTAATCAATTATTAAGCGATGTGCTAATTTATTAACTATAATTAAAAGATCACTCAGTTGCATCTGAATAAGCATTTAAGTAAAAAAATTGTTTTTAAGAATAACTGATTTTTGAAGTGAATTACAATATTATTCAATGGAAACTTTATTATGCTGCAATTCTACTTAGAGCCGTGAAAAAGAATACCAGAACAGTATGTTATTGCCATTCACACCTAATATTCTACTCAACCCAGATCACATACATGATAGTGGTCCCATAGAGATTATCACTTACTGACACTGTGACTGTCTTAGTTTATATAAGTTTTTTCTTTTTTTTGCAGTACTGAAGCTTGAACTCAGGCCTAAACCTTGAGCCACTCCACCAGCCCTTTCTTGTGTTGGGGCTTTTTCAAGATAGGGTCTCATGAACTACTTGCCTGGGCTGCCTTGAACAGTGATCTTCCTGATCCCTGCCTCCTGAGTAGCTAGGGTTACAGGCGTGAGCCACCGGAGCCCGGCATAGTTATAAGTTTATGTAAACATACTCTATGATGTTCACATAGCAAAATCACCCACCAACATATTTCTCAGAACATTCCACATCATTAGGCGTGCATGCCAATATTTATATTTGAAAAATTGAAAATCTTGAGTGTCACAAACTGTTATAGCTAATAAGTCAAATTCCATAATAAGGAAATCTCTATAAAATATTTCCAAGTTCCTGCTGATATTATATTCCAAGTAATATCTAATGTACCATAAGTCCACTAACAAAAACTAATGGGTACAATTTATGGAAATTCTATCATGTGTGAGACTCTATACTTACTGCTTTACATGCACTATCTTATCTGATACTGACAGCAATCCCATGAGGACTATATCATTATCCCTAACTTTACAAATGAGCTTCCAACAAGGTAAGTAAATTGCCCAGGGTCACAAAGTTAATAACGGTACGGAGTGATATTCAAATCCAGTTCTCTTCTCATTCCAAACACCTTCTCATTTTACTATACTATAGTACCTTCCACTGGACTATGACTATCCCTTGGAATTTGACTGATGTGATTATACTGAATGTGTGATGTTGGAGAGGTGATTATGTTCATCTGTGCATGTATATGTATGGTTGGTATGGAAACCAATACATACAAAACAATTCTACAAAGCATTTGAAACTTTCATCAAATACTCACTGGACTTAAAAAGAAAACACAAATGAATAAGTAAGGTACTTATACTGTTTGGTATATAAACCAATAAAGAAAAAAATGGAAATCCTGAATCTGTATTTTCTATCACATGGTAAATAAGAAATGAAGATAAGTGAGATAAACACTGACCATTTTGTGTGAAATTTACATTTGACCAAGCCTTTTTAACATTTTTGCTTCTTTTGTTATCACCTCCATTTACCTCCAGGCATCGATCTTGCCATCTTCGGGCCAGCATCTCCAGAAGTGGGGGCCTGAATTTATCCAATCCTAGCAGGTCTGGCAGCATAACACAGTGCATAGCAGCTAACTGACTCCATCCTGTCAAAATGTGATACATCATAAATACTTTAAATATTTTAGTATTCCCTGAATCAAAAGTTTTTATTTATGTACATATACTAAAAACAAAATGGCAGACCCACTAAGTTATGTTATAAATGATTTTAATTTAATATTAGACATTTTGTTCAAAGAATTACACCAGATGTATTTCATCCTTGAATCATGTAACAACAAGGGTTGGGAGCATGGCTCAAATGGTAGAGTGCCTGCCTAGCAAGTGCAAGGCTCTGAGTTCAAACCCCAGTACCACTACCCCCCCCCACACACAAAGAGAACTCTCTAAAATAACACATATATTGAAGGATGGGAAAGGACAGAAATAAACAAACACATTTAAGAGCTACAGATGTAAAACTGCAGTATGTTAAAAGGGAACTAACACAGATATCCAGAGACAGGTTCATGTTACTTAAGGCCTGACCATATACATGTTGCCCTTGTATCAGCGCAAAGAAGATGGCCTCCCTTCTTATTAGAGAACCTTTAATTAAGGTAGTTATTGATCTCTTCTCATATAAAAGAAATCACATTTAATCATAATCATAATTGAAATAATTGACCATAAGGTCAATTTTGAGAGGAAATATGAATTTAGATATTCCACAAAATAAAGGTCTGACAATCTAAAATTTATAGTTACATTTCCAAAATTCCAGTTCACAATAGGGAATTTGATTATATGAAAATGACAAATAGTATAACCACTACAATATTTTAAAGTACTAGTATCTCTAGGGACCTAGCTCACTGTACAGCACCTGCCTAGCAAGTGCAAGGTCCTGAGTTCAAACCCCATTATCTTCAATCATTTCATCCCTATTTTAAAGGTGTGTAAGATACAATAAATGCCTATACACTAAATGCCCCATTCTTCCCAAATTACTATGGCCTGAATAAGGACATTGTTAATCCACAATAATTATCATTTTCTCCTCAGGATGACATCTAATGACAAATAATCAAGAATAGATTAAAACAATGCCTACTACCACTGACAAAGTGCATTATCTGTAAACACAGTATTTTAGCAAATCAGTGTTTTGAAATAGTCTAAACTGTAGTCTTTTAGAATAATGACAAAAACCCTTCAGTAAAAATCAAAGTGATCATCAAGACTGTTAGAGACAGATACACAAGTCACCTGTTTAAAGATTCAGTGAGAAAATGTTCATCACCTGACAATAAACACGCACCCACATTAATTCAGGTGATGGGCACACACATCCTAGATTATAACTTACAATAGGGATATATACATGTACCCACACACACATGTATATAGACATACATACATATACAGACATATATACATATATTACTATTAGCAATTTATTAGCGTATTTTAATGTTTCATGGACATATATTTCATAGAAATATTTATAAGCTAAATTTTAACATCATGATAGTTCTCAACAAGACCCAAATCTAACAGCTTATTTACAAGTTAACAAATAACTATTCTTCACAATATTTTCAAGTGCTGGCTAGCTCAGCCAGTAGGGCACAAAATCTTAATAAATATGACCCTAATTATTTTTGCTCAAATCTCGTCTTCATGTACAAAACTTAGTATAATTTTATGACAGAGAAAACAAGCAAAAAATGAAATCATACTTTTAAGTCCTTGTACTTTCTTTTCAAAGGAGTGCCACTTGCAACATGAGCTCTTTACTTCACAGGAAGTATACATTCCTTCCATCTGAATGCACTTATAATATTGATTTTTAGTGAAGAGTTGGAATCATTCTGAGCTACATTTTAAGTTTTATAAATTTCCTTCTTTTACACTGTACAAACTGGGAACAACTGAGACCAAATGGAGAGACAGTGGTTATAATGCAGAACTCATCAGTTCTATTAAGCTTCTAAGAGGTACAAATAATCTTAATGGGTCTTGGGCACAAGGGCTTGCAGATTTCATCCACATTTCAGTGCTCCAAAAACACTTTCCACTATGTAACTCCACAAGAATAATACGATAGCCCAATTAAATCTAAAGATTTAAATTATGGAATGTTTTTTATTAGCCTGAAGCCGTACTAGTGATAGGTTAGGTGAATTTCTATCGGCCTATCATCCAAAGACCTTTCTAATGAGAATGTAAATTAAGAGACTCCTTCATATCTCCCTGTAACCATGTCATATAGTTCAGTAAAGACAGCAAGGTGCATCTGTTGTAGACTAATTATACATGTAAAACAAATCCATTAGTACTATTGCCATAGATCAATTGGCAAATATAACTATGAAAACCAATTGATCCTATAACACCAGATTAGCATCTGTGCAATCCTTTGACAGCATTCTACATGATAGGAGACATGGTTTATACCAGCAAGGGGTAACATCACACTTTTATAACTGGCTCTGGGAGCCAGTGCCATTAGCAAATAAAGTTATAGAGTGGGAACATTAGAATCTCAAACGTAACAAAGGAGATGAATGTATAAATCAGATAAAAAGAGAACATGTCTATTAGGATAAAGCATAGATTGAAAGGAAGTCATTAGAAAGTTGAGAGAGAATACCTTCATTGACTAAGAAACAGGTATGTAAAGCAGGAGTAGAAGCAGAGTCAGAGCCAGAGTGATCAGCATCAGACCGAGCGGAAACAACAGGAGCAGCAACTTGCAGAGGAAAATAGAAGAAATAAAGAGGAGAGAATTGAGGTACAGCAGTTTCTGAAAAAAAGCTCAGTATTACTGCAGAACAAAAATAAAGCTGGCAAAATATAGTGAACATAAAACTGAAAAATGATGTCTTAATCAGAAGGGCATGCCCATTAAAAATTACAGCAGGAGATGATGGATTTCATTGACTAGCAACCACAATGTACCTTAACTTAATCTTAAAGTCAAATTTGATTTAATATTACAGAGGAATGAGGTGTCAAACAGTGCAAAACATAGCTCTAAAACAATGGGGCTATAATAAAAATAAAAACTGAATTTAAAACATACCAACTTGTAAAGAATATTTGCTACATATTAGGTTTAACTTATGTTAGAAGAATCTTCATACTTACTGAAGTTTTAAAAATATTTTTGCTATGTAAATGCTGTATGAGCTAAAAATAATTATTGTGAATTTTATAATTCTTATAAACTAATTGAACCAACCCCTCCCCCAAAAAGGTTGTGTTACCAGGAAAATGTTTCAGCTTAAATTATCATATGAAAAAGCCAAAGGACCTTATGGCACACACATTCTACAACTGGAGGTCAATGTTAAGATTCAGAGGTCACCATTTGACACTTCCTTCCTATGGAGAAATTACCATATGTCATGCACAAGCATCTTCAAGTTAATCCCTGTCCTTTCTTCTGTCATTGAACAGCAACAGGTTTGGGCTCCTGAACAGATTAAGCATTGTATGCTGAATGATATGTTTGCTTTTCATGCAGTGAAGTTCTTTTGTGAGGACAGGACAGCTGCATGAAAACAACTTTTTCATAATTTCCACACGAATGCATCATAATGTCAATCAGGCACATGCGAGGTAAACAGCAGCACTAAAACAAGTCCAAGAACAGCAACACAAAAAGAAAACCAACTCCAAAAACTCGAAGAAGTATCTCTTGCACACATCAAAGTTTTATCTAATAAACTGCAATTTTTTATTGTGACAGACTTGGGTTTTGTTCTTTATGATCAGGTACATTATATGCATGTATGGAAATGTCAAGATGAAATCCCTGAGTACAATACCTGCCAATGTAAAAAAAAAATTATCTAAGAAAAGAGACTACAATTATTTTATAATATTATACTTATGAAAGAAACAGAATTGCTTTCAATTTTATTTCATAAGATCTATGAACTCCATTATAAATTAATCTTGTAAAGAAATCCAAAATATTTCTATATCCCATTGAATTTTTCATTTCACTGTATTTAATTACAAATTCAGTTAATATAACCTAAAAACTATTAACCTCCACATGGAAAAAGCTGGTAAGCCTTGGTGGCAAGGAGTAAGTGTTTGGCTTTCATAACACAAAAATATTGAGGAAAATCCTTTAGTGGCTTACAATAGTTGAAAATTTCTATAATTTCCATTTTTAAGGTGCAAATGTACAAGGAAGCTAGAAATGCCAGTCAGAACCACTAGAACATGAGGTATGTACTAGTGTGTTCAACATATACAACAATTTTTAACAAGACAACAAAACAAATTCTTGACATGACATTTTTGAAGTTATGTTTAAGTGACATTTCATATATAAAAACAAATGTACATTAACCCTTTAATGAATTCTATGTGCACTAAAAATCAAGACAAATACTTTAACAGAAATCAAGAAATCAAATTATGCTTTAAAAACCTCTGCATCACTACCAAAATAATACTCATATTGCTCACAACTGGGGTGACAGAATCCAGAACTACTTTCACAATTCATTGAGAAATTAAACTGTCACAGCTTTTACAAAGGTCCATAGCTAGAAGGCCCAGCAACAGAAATTAGGACAATATACCACATCTAAAATAAATACTCAAGAATTCATGATAAGTAATATATCTGAAAAGTTACAGGTGCATTGAATATTGAAGATTTATATCATAAAACATCATTAAGCAACTGGTCTCTTAAATGAGAAAATTGATATGTCACCTATGAATTTGCTTCTCCATTTAAGGATTAGTAAAACCCGGGGAAAGTTTTAGCACAGTTCTAAAATGGAAACAGAACAGACACAAGTTCTATTATTTTACCTGGAAGTCTCCTTTAAGAAATTTTGCAGTTAAGAGCATTTTCAACTGCTTTTTCTCACATGAAAACATAGATGAAGACAACAAACCTCTGCATCTATCTTCTATCTATCTATCTATCTATCTATCTATCTATCTATCTATCTATCTATCAAGCATCTATCTATCTGCTCTGGCTTCCTTTCAAAGTGCATACACAGAGTTTGGGCAGACTTCAGTGGCCCAGCAAGTGTAAGACCCTGAGTTTAAAGCATGACAACCAAAAAACCCCCAAAAAAATGGGCATATACAGATATACTCAACATTATAATATCCATGTTTAAGCTTTTGAACAGAAGTATTTCAGTCTTCATGTGATTAATCCTAAACTCCATTTTCCTCACTCCCACTGTGATATTTAAAATATATGTGTGACAGAAAAGTAATATATTCCGATGACAAATGCTCTTTACATATTGGTCTAAATCTCATTAGCTTTCTAGTACATAAACACAAATAGCCTTTACAGTTTTCAGAAGAAAAAAAATTTAAAAACAGAAAAAGAAATGCAATGTATAACAAAATAAGATTTTTTAAAGCTTAACACTAAAATAAAATTACTGAATAATGAATCACCTTCACCTAAAGTGTTACAAGGTAATTGTGATGCTGTAGCAGGGGAAGGGGAAAAGAGGAGGAATAGGAGGAAGCACAAAAAAAATTAGAAGCTAGAAAACTTTATAGAGCCCACCACCATGTACCAAAGATAAAGCATGTGCACTGGGTCTGGCATCAAGTGTAGACATCTCAGCGCAACATCTGCATTTTTATAAGTGCCCCTTAGTTTTACGCATGTATATTTTAGGTAGATGGACATTCTAATCATCCTCTAAATCAACATGAAGCATTAAGATAAACTGTTAATTCAGCTCTCGTTATCACTTTTCTAATGCCTTACTCTTTAATGTTCAAAACTAAATAAAACAATATTCTGTTTGATTAGTCAGAAGATACCATATGTCCAATGCCTTATTATTGGCAAAATTAATGCAGCACTTTGCTCTGCATGCAGTCTTCTCAAGAAAACTCTAAACTTCCTTCTAATTCCTTTTGTTACAGAAAAAATTTTTACTCAATGGTATCTCCTAATGCTAAAGAGATGACAAAAGCGATACTAATCAATCTAAATATTATCATGACCAGAAGTCATGTTAGAAAACATATGCTGGGAATTATGATCCAAAAGCCTCCTTTCTTTTATGCATGCCTGTATGTATATATGTATGTATTCTTTTGTGCTTCTGGGACTTGAACTTGGGGCCTCATGCTTCCTAGACAGGTACTCTACCACTTGAGCCACACCTCCAGCCCTTTTTGCTTTTCTATTTTTCAAGTAGAATCTCACATTTTGCCTGGGTTTGCCTGGACCGCACTCTTTCAATTTCTGCCTTCCATATGGCTGTGCAACACCATGCCTAGCTTATTGGTTGAGTTGAAGTTTTGTTAACTTTTTGCCTGGGCTGGTCTCAAACTGCAATCCTCCAAATCTATGCCTCCCAAGTAGCTGGGATTACAGGATTGAATCCCCATGCCTGGCTCAAAAATTTTTCTTTCTCAAAAAAGAAACCTCAGGCCTTATGTGTAAGTATGTGTACAGTAATTATAAACACTGTAAATTGAGACACCACTATAGTATTGTCCATTATTATTATACCACTGGACTCACACAGAGATATAATGGTTATTGTATGGAGTACTACTTCTTTGTCAGAACTAAGCTCCTTAGATTATTTGCAAAATATTCCTGGTAAGATATAACTGAATAATTAGAAGGCAATGTACTATTTTAATAAGTCCAATAGAATAGGCAGTCAGTCAACATGAAAGGACACAGTTTAATATGTCGAACAGTATAAAAAGGTCCATTCTGGAAGATGGGAAGGCACAGCACTTAGCAGACTCAGCCAGGAGGATCACAAATTTCAGGACAACCTGGGCTATATATTAAGACAAATCCAATGCATGACAGCTGGGAAATTCCTCAGCTTCATCCCAAAGTACGGCTCTTGAGTAGTAATTACTTCCAAAGCCTTATCTATTTCTTCCAGCATATACTTCTGTATCACCAAATAATCTGCTAAGATAATTTCTTGATTTACCAAATTTAAATACTAGCTTTTGCTTTCTACAAATATTGTGGAAGATAATTTATCTTTGATAAGCTACGTCTCCTAACAAATTTCCATTTTTATCACCAACTTTCCAAAATAGTTACATCGCACTTCTGGGTTTTACAAGTATTAGGTGCTTCCATTATCTCTATAGAAATACTATTCGGTGATTACCCAACTAGCTTACTAATATCACATTTCCTTTCCTGGAACGTTTGTTATCTCCTGAATTTAAAAATGATCTTTTCCCCCATTTGTCTTCTTTACTACGTGCCTATTTCTTCTTTCTGAGGCTCTGCAGCCTCTTAGTGATGTTCCACAGATCAGTTTCCTTTATCCATCCAGCACCTCTTTGGAAGGCATCCTATATCCTGCTCTTACCTGCTGTGTGGCTAATACTCTGAGACTTCTGTCACCATCACCCTGCAAATCCTCCCTCCCTCAATCCTCTCCTCAATGGATCCCCAGTTTCCTGCACCCCATGCTTATTTTTCTTAGTTTATTCCTCTGATTTGATGGAACAATCTCTCAATACCTTGCTGAAAAAAGGTACACAATATATTAATTTGCCAAACCATAACTGTCTAAAAATGTTACCAAATCTGCCTTCTTATTTGATTGATAGTTTGCATGTGGAATTCCAAAATGAAAAAAAAATCATCTTCCCTCACGTTTTTAAGGAACTACTTCATTCTCCTCTTACTAGGTTAAAGCTACTATTAATAGGTGCAAGAAGATTGTTACCCTAAAATATAAAAATTGAAACGGTTAAGGTCAGTAGAAATGTTACAACTAACTGCATAGAGAAAATAAACATCGTATCAGTAATATGATCATGAAAAGGTAGATGTATTTGGAAATTAATGAAAATCAAAAGGAAATATATCATGAATTATGGTAATTTCAAATTTACACAAAGTTGGAGTTTTGTAGAATTTTGTAACTTGGAATTCCTGTGTACTCTGTATATCATAAATAAATCCCTGTTCTAAGAATTCACTATGATGTTCTTGGAAAATATGGCCGTAATTGTTACAATAGGTTATCGCAGGGAATAAATGAAAAGAACAGAGGAAAATGGATAGTATATACTATTCACATGATAAATTTACTCATAATGGTCCTGCTAAGAAAACAGATAAAAACCTTACTTAAGTATGTACTTACTAATAATCTACACTCTTTCACTTAGATATGGTCCCCTAAATGAACAACACATTTGGAAGCAATACAGAGATGTACTATCAAACATCATTAGGAAAAATGGAGGTGCTTAAAACACTGTAAAAGAAAACTAAAAGTAACTAGGGCAACAGGGCAGTGCAAACTTCCAGCAATAGAAAGGATAAGAACACACCTCCTTTTCAAAATGAATTAACAGCCCAAGATGGCATTCTGACAGACAAGTATGTCAAGGCAACTCATGAAAGTCCTAATAATATTTTAAAAACACAGTAAGACTACTTTATCTTTAAATCACTACTATATTATAGCAGAGTTATAGTAAGTTTACATGTGATTTTGATATTTCTTGGCCTCGCACTATACCAAAGACTTAAATAACAACAAGAAAAAGCAAACAATAAAAGATCTCCCTCCTTACTAACATCCAAAATAAACAAATGAGTACTCTAAGATCAAGAACAAGAGGAAGACAATTTATTACAGCAGAAGATAAATTTATAATGGAAACACTACTTGAATTAGGTATATGAAGGCTATTGAAATTTCCTACTTCACTTAGTTAACAACAAGTAAGTGCTTATTACAATGTACCAGGTAATGGGTTTGGTATATAAAAACACAAAGATCAGGTAAAGTTTCTGTTTGTGAAGCACTCAGAGACTACTAGAAAAGTAAATAAACAACAAATTAAAATATTACCATATAATTGTACTCCTGTGTATTTTCTCCAATAAGCATGAACTCCTTGAAGGCAAGGATTTATTTTGCCCTAATAGCCCTAGCACCTACTGATTGACATATTTGCTCTAAAAGCACAAAGAAGATGTACTTATAGATTCATTTGCTCAACAAATATTCACAGATCTCCTTCTATGAATCAGCTACTGTACCAAGCACTTATGATAAGTCAATGAAACAGAAAAAATGTCCCTGGTTTTCAGCTCCCACAGAGATCAAAGTAATAAGCCATTTTAAATAAAGAAAGGTACATAAGTTCAAACACAAAAAAAATTAAGGAATTCTCAGATCCATTCAGTGACTTGACTCCAGGTTAAGTACAGATTTTTTGCTACAGATCCTGGAAAAGGATAGTAATAAACTACTGGTTAATTTATGTAAATGTTTCCTGACATAACTTAACAATAACTACTTCTAATATCTGAGTTCAGTGTAAGTTGAACCTTTTTCTGAGAAGTAAAATTGCAACTATAACATAACCTCAAATCTTTAAGTTGTTTCTCTTGCTGTGAACCTTCCACTGAGTAGAAATGCATGTTCTAAACACACAGGTAAAAACCAAGATGCACTAGATCCATTAGAAATACAGACCACAGATTTTTTTTTTTTGCAGTAAAAATTATGGTAAGGGTTATTAGGAAAAAATTAGCACACCAGGATAAAAGTGGAAAGAAAAAAAAAAGAGAAAGAGAGAAATATTTCCTGCCCC